TGATTTTTTTTTTAAACATTATTCTTTAATTTTTTTTACTCTATTTTGTCTTTATTTTTTACCTTGTGTGAATCCTGTTTTTAACTCTGACCCTGTTGCTGCTGTTAACGCCTGCATTTCCCCAAGGGGATAAATCAAGTTCCATCTTATCTTATCTTATAACTCAGTAAAGATAAAAAAAATGTGCCTCCCTCTTAGCGTAGCCGAGTGGTTTTTTGAAATGGCATACAATGGAAATAGTAAAGCACAAGTATCTCAAAGTTGTATTGAGGTGCAGTATTTAAGTAAATGTAATTAGTTGTATCATACCACTGTTCTCTCCTCAACATAAACATCTGGGTAAGCCATTAAGCAAACCTGTCATAAGGGTTATAATTTAACTTCTGTATATTTTTTGGCGATTTTGACATACTTTATTAATCCCTCGTGGGGAAATTGTTTCTCTGCATTTGACCCATCCTAGTGTTTAGGAGCAGTGTGCTGCCATTTTGAACGGCGCCCGGGGAGCAGTGTAGGGAACGGTGCCTTGCTCAGGGACACCTCGGTAGCACTTGGTCTTGACTTGAACTGGTGACCTTCCAGTTGCCAAGCCAAGTCCCCTATCGACTTCGCCACCACCGACCCTGATATCTCCTATCAGGGTCTTAAGCTTTTCTTATTCGTGGTGCATTCCCATGATGAGTAACCCCCCCACTGTGTTCCCCTCCTTTGTCCATCAGCTCCAGGCACTCGGGCCACAGCTCCCCGAGAGACGAGTCCTCCTCTTCAACAACGTCTCCTTCGTCCCAGTCCTCCTCTTCCTCGTCCCCGGGGCCCAAGAGCTTCTACCCCCGCCAGGGAGCTCAGTCCAAGTACCTGATCGGCTGGAGGAAACCCGGATCCACCATCAACTCTGTCGACTTTGGAGACACACGCAAGTAAGGAGGAATTTAGAAAGTACAGTTGGGCTTTATTTATTGTTCGCAGTACGGCAGTGGGTTTAAACTGTAAACACAGTTATATTGCTTTTATGTTGCCACAAGTTTGGGCAAAGTTTATAATAGATTGGTTCAATAGGTGGCCCCTAAAAACATTCAATATTCCAAGCAAGCGGCTCCTAGTGGATTTGAAAACGTTTACCTAGCATTATCTTCAGGGTGTGGGAAAATGAACACAAGGACAATATACTCCAATTAATTCAAAAACAATGCTCGATCCATATTGGCTTTTGTAAAGCTGATAATGTTGCATTCGTGTTGGGAACTTGTCAGAGGTGATGAAGCAGTGTTGTTGTGCTGCTCTTCATCACTGCATGTATATAGGAGGGATACAATTGAACATTGCTAGCTTTACTATGACAGTTTTCACTGTAGGGATGCTACGTAACACTGCGTTGATCCCATTGCTTATCCACCCACATGACTTAATCCCTGTAATGCACTAAATATCTTCTGGAAGAAAATACATACTGCTCTATTCCCCCCTTGTGGTTGAAGAGGATATTACAGTAATGGCAGCACCTGGATGCAAGTTGGTGGTGAAATGCTCTGCTGTTGAAGCTGAATGAACACATATCTCTATTATTTATCAGTGTTATCATTTGTGTGTAACCGAACAACAGTGCCGTTATGTAAATAAAATGTTAACTGGGGTTTGAATTCAGAATATTTGGAAGTTAGGATCATTTAGTTTGTAAAAGTTTACCTTGATGAAAGGGGATAATATTTTTCATTAACAATTTTATGGCAGTGTTTTGGAAAATTCATTTAGTCTTCTAAGGACATCTGAGGGAGGTGTGTGGCGCAGTGGGCTATACGTTGGTGTTGGGATCAGGGGGGCACAGGTTCAAACCCCACTGCAGTCAGCATGTCGTTGTGTCCCTGAGACACTTCACCCCAAATTGCTCCTGTGGGGATTGGCCCACAGTATTGAGTATGTTAGTCGCTTTGGATAAAAGCTTCTAACAAGTGACATGTCATGTAATCTGAGTAACTTTTTTGAAAGTGAAAAACAAGGGTTAATCTGTGCGGCCTTTTCTTTCTGTGTGTGTTTTAGGAAGTCTCCAGGAGAGGGGGGGGTGGAGGTTGTTCCCGTCCCAGCAGCCAGGCCCTCTCTTCGGGATATGCATTCGCCCCAGCCTCACGGCAAATCCACTATGGAGGAAGACATAAAGAGACACAATTCCCCCGACAGCCCTCCACCACCACGCAGACATAAGGAAAAGGTACGCCTGCAGAAATATGCATCCCAAAATCTTTTTACAAGAACAACTGGTCGATGGACACATATAACCAAATCCTAAAATAACAAAACTGTTGCTAATCAGGTTTCTTCACCTTTTACATTTCCGTGAATCTTTCAAATGAGTAAAGTGGATTCATTTGGACAAGGCAAATGAAGTCGTCTCCTGACACAATACCACTTAATGTGTGTCTCTTTTAAATATTTTGCGAAAGGACAGGTTCACTTAGAAAGTTACTCCACATTCGTCTTACATGTTAGGTGTACGTTTAGTTTGCACATATCACATTTTTCTAATAGGTATTTCTGCGGTTGTTTTCTGTCGGGGTTCATCCACATATTGCATTTGGTTGGATCCTATTTTAGTAATAATACAATAACATTCCCCATCACCTCCCCACCCTGTGCAGCACGGGCAGAAACCCCAGCAGATCCCGCCTCTGAACCGCCATCGCCCCCTGCATCGAACCCTCTCAGACGAGAGCATCTATCGGGGCCAGCGCCTACCCCCCCTCTTAGACTCCATGCCCGAACCGGCGCTCGGTGCAGACCTCCTCTTCAGCTGCTCCACCCTCCCACGCTCACCCACCACCCGCGGGGTTCCCCTGCGACGGCCCTCCTATAAACTGGGCGTCAAACTCCATGGTAAGTGTGTAGGTTTCTAGAAGAGGCGAAGTAGTTATAGCAGCTGGAGTTTAGTTTATTTGTTTATAGTGTCGTGGACAGTCCCCATTGATCAACTGTCACACAAAACAGTAAATGGGGGGAGGAGCTTTAGCAAACATTGCTAATTTCCAGCTGTTGTCCCGGGCCAGATGATAATGGGCACCCTTAAAATCACAACATATCCATCACAGCTGCAGCGTGTAGTTGACCAAATTAGTGGTAAGTGGTAAGACTATTGACAAATTACCAGCTATTTAAAATAATCATCATGTAATTTTTCTAACAAAAATGCCCCAAAAAATTACTTGAATTCTGGGATTTCTTTTTTTTCTCTCTGTTTTTATATCATAAAAAACAGCTATTTGAGACTGAAAAAACATCAGATCTAAAGTAATTCACTTGGATTTTAGAAACTGGGAAATGGTTTACTATTCACACACACACACACACACACACACACACACACACACACACACACACACACACACACACACACACTCACACACACACACACACACACACACAACCTTCCCTCATCCAGCACCAGTCACCACCACTTTTCTGCTGCTACTGCACTGAAACTGTACTTTGAACATTTTAAATTGTATACCCCGTGTATCTAGGCCCTTTTTGTTTTGTTTTATGTATATATATATGTCACACTGTGGGACTGCGGGAAACGGTATCTCGAGGTTTCTGGATGTATAACACATGTAGTAATTTTGACAATAAAGCTGACTTTGACTTTGAACTCTGTCCCTCATGTGTTGTATAGGCTGGCATGACTAGGCTTTTTTCAATGGGGCTGATGTGTTGTGTAGATTCTGCCAGAAGGAAAATCACTGTCAAACTCCACTCACGAAGTGTGCCGTGAGGTGCTGCTCCACATTGCTTTTCTTCCCGACTGCAACGCTGGTCCCGCAAATCCAGCACAAATGTGATTGGTCGATATTCATTGTGGGTGGTGGGGGGAGGATGGGTGTTGGATAGATATAGAGTTGTAATAAGTAGATTTCGCTATGATTGAGGTTTCGTTTATGCATAGGGTAGATTCTTTTAATTACATTTCGTTGTTTTTTGTGTGTATTTTTTACATTTTGGATTTGCTTGGAGAGCTACTTATTGAGGGCTTGCGAGCTACCGGTAGCTCGTAATCGACGTGTTGGAGACCCCTGCTCTAGGGGCTGTGTCATCATGCCAATATTAGGAACATAGCTATCATAACTTTAACACAGTGTCTCATGAGCGTCATCCATGTAGTCATACATCCGGCTACGTACACAGCTACGTAGGGCCTCTGTTATCATGTGCTACTCTGATATAGAAGGAACATTCAGTATTTTCCCAACAAAATGTAATCTTGCATTGAACGTAGTATGCATAGCTTTAGAGTCACAAACTATATAAGAATCTGCCAGGATTACCTGATTTTGTAGATGTATCAAAAGTAAACAGCATAAAAACTAGCTGCTAATTAAACCTTATGCTTTTAAAATAGGCACTTTAAGTGTTTAAGGACAGTGTAAAGAAAAGATAAAAGTTGAAGATTAAGAACAAGAGCCAAACTGACTTGATGCTGGCCCAGTGGTAGGTTCTCATCTCCAAATACCGGCAGGCGGTCATACCGATCCAGATGCCTCCTCCATTACACAACAGGATGTCCAGAATTACCTGATCCCACCAGCACTCCGCAAAGTTCGGCAGCAGGTGCATGAAGATCAGCTGTGGAGAAAGCAGCATGAACATAATTTTCTTTATATATATTGTGAAATAGTTTCTTTTTTTTATCATGGGACAACATTCCTAGACCAACAGACTCAGAGACAGTTTTATCACACAGGCCATAAGACTGTTAAACTCCTGAGCTCTGTAAAGGTTCACCATTAAAGCACTGTATGTTCATAATGCACTGTAGACAAGTATAACTGTCTTTTTATTTAACTTTTATGTTAAGTAGATTATATGTTGCATTGTTAAAGGAGCCTTAGTTAATAAACCATTTGAAGCCTTCTATAGTCTGATATTTGGATTATTTTTGCACCTTGTCGATTGGTAAAGCAGTCAATTCTCTGATGAGTAAATCCCATGGCAGGCTAAATGCTGTAATCTAAGCTCCCGAGTCAACAACTGGCAGCAGTCACAGCGACAGCTCTTGTTATGTGCAGATAATTTTAATGACCTTGTAAACTAAATTTCTGTTTTGGTCCACATCTTGAACAGATGTATTTTACCTCAGTGAGCTCCCAGGTGATGCTGATGGTCCAACAGAGGCCGTAGCTGCGGATGAGCAGAGCTTTTACAGCCCAGCCTGCAAAGTGACCCAATGCAAAGATGTCGAAGTGGGTCAGGATCCGCTCCCATGTTATCACTGTGCAGTTCACAGCATATTCCTGGAAGAGAAAAGTGACTAAATGATAAGAAGCGTTTGAAGTCTTCTCATCTCAACTTTCTGTTGCAAAATAACTTTCTGGAGCAAGGACTCAGAACACAAGGGGAACACTGTAGACATTGAACGTGTGTCAGACACTTCAAGGTTTATTGGGAGTTGCGGCCAGAGAATTGACAAAGAGATTTGCTGCAGCAACGAGGTGATACCACTCCTGCCCAGGCAATTCTGAAGATCTCTCCCCAAATCCCAAGTATTTTTCTAATTCTAGTCAAAACTATTCCCAAGGAGAGAGTGGCCTTCTGGGGTCACATTCCCGAACTCTGACAACGGGAGAGAGTGATTAACTGGGTGAAAGGCCTTGGTAAATAATTCCTCAACCTCTATATCCAAGAAATATACATCCTTAATCCTTCCATTGAACCTGACATCTTTTAACAATAGGAACTGAATTTGCTGAACTAAGTCTGATCAAGAGTACAAGAAACTAAAATATCCTCACCATGATATCAGCTTCCCGTTTGGCATAGCGCAGATTTGGGTCCAGCCAGTACATAAGTAACTTTACTTGGTCCCAGTTGAGGAAGAGGAGGAAGACAAGAAACAGGAAGTACAGCACACTGAGTCCTACAGGGGAGAGGAGAGAGTTAGGATCAAAACAAATCTAGCCCAGATCCAAGCTGGTTGGATTAAATAATCAAAGCAATTCAGATGTATTTGGAAACTATTGTAGCAATTTTATGGTATTAAAGCTTTTAATAAAGTTTTATTCTAATGTAATGTAATTGTGTTTAGGAAGGGAGTATGAAACTACAGGATGGACAGGAATGAAGATAAACAAGTTGGGGGGCTTTTATGACGTCCTGTGGAGGGGGGCATCTGATGAGTGTTTGGGTTTGTGTGACTTGCATGTCTTGATGCCTTTAAAAAGCTGAGCCTCACAGACAGATGTTAAAGAGCTTTATATGAATATTGTGTTTCTTTGTACATTTGCCTAACTCATCACTTTCTCTAAACAGCAGCTGATTTAAAGTTGCGACGACAACACTCACCAAACACCACTCGCCATACTGCAGGGTGTGGCCTGGTAAAAGGTCCTGATGAAGAAAAAAGAACACCGGGTAAGTGATTTTCACTGTGTTTGCATTATTCCTAGAAAAAGCATATTTGCTCAAAGTCCACCAAGGTCAGTCGATATGGCAAAAGACTTCAGCTATCTGTCAACCACCTGATATTTAGGCTACATTTAGTGTTCAATTAGATCCAGTATTTCACAATGAAATCATACTTGTGTTGTTATTCTAAATACTTAATTCTAGATTTAAACTTTTCAAAATCTTGAACTCTCAATTTTATTTCAAACGTTTGAATGGTGCTGACCATTTAAACATGTTAAGTCATGTGTGCGTTTTAAAAAAAAAAAGAATTATTGAATATATCCTGAAAAGCAGCATATCCTCACATTTGAGAAGCTGTGTGCAGAGAATATTTTGTATCCGTGCTTGAAAAATGCCTAAGTTAGATCAACTCATTGTCAATATATTGCAGATTTATCTCAGTAGACTTTGAACTACAGTCCATAAGACAAAACATAAGCATGGGCTGGTTCCAATAGAGTACCATTTATTGCTGTATGTTACATTAAAGATACAACTTACCATTAGGAAACGCCAGGATACTGATGACCAAGAAGAAGGAGACAACCACCAAAAGACCAACTCGGAGGTTGTTATCAGACTGCTCATCATCCCTGTATCATAACAGTATCACAAGTTAACAATCCCAAGCTTATCTACCTCTGTGTATATGTACATTACATTATATTACACACTGTGGTTTACCTTGTAAACGCAAAGTACATCAGGCTGAGCACAGTGACTGTCAGGAGTGTGATGGTGTGCGGTTTGTAGAAGAAATCAAGGCAGATATCGTCCACTTGTTGCTCGTTTATCATTCTGAAATGCAAGTTATAGTTGACATCATCCTCCCGGTGTTTTTTTGGAGACACAGCGACCGGCATTTTGCAGTTGTTGGCTATTTTATTAGTTGCAACGCCTTTATACTAGAAGTTTGAAAAGCAGATAGACAAGTAGATGCTGTTTAGCAGGAACACTGTAGATGGACTAAACCATTGAGCTAACAAGGCGGTTTATATTTGAAAATACCATAGAAAAATTCACGCTGTAGTTTAAACCAAAGACACATTGTAAGAACGTGGAAGACAGAACATTTTCGATCGTATAAATGTCATTCCCCTATTGAAATATTTTTGCTTTTCAAATTATCTATGTATATTAAGTGCCTTTGGTGACACCCACAATTATGCCGTTGTGGTACATCCCACAAAAGTGACACTTCCGGTGATTCTTCCGGTAATGTTACCCACGCGTTGTTGGTAACGGATGACTTCGAGACATACTGGTGAATGAGATAGCTGAGTTGAGGATACAATACTTGTGAGTAAAAAGTTAATCTAAAATAATATGTTGGCTTTGGTGACTCAGACTATAAGAGGCCTTATATTATTGTAGTATGCTAACTTTCAAACCTAGCCTCTTGTGGGTCAACATTCTATACACAACGTATGTTTTATTTCTTAACCTTACCTGCATTAACACAAAACAAATTGAAATGTGAAATATTCCTAAACTTCTCTCAATATGAATGACACAGTTTTTATTTCTACACGCTACCAAACCCATGAACAGCTAAACAGCCACTAGAAAAACATACGCATGAAGTTAAAAACACAAATATACACATTGAGTTACAAACAGTATGACCTTGCAGATATTACAACATATATATATGCGTTTGATTGAGCAAGTACTATACTGCTCTTTAATACTTTTATTGTAAAGTAGGAATGATAAAAATTGTAATTTTCTTCTGCATTTACAAAAGTAAATGTAATCAGAATGTATACTGTACTCATACTTGTACTAACTATACATTTATTCCATCATAAGGAGACCTATAAGACTAAGCTAATAACAATCTGATATTATTTTCAACCTTTTACCTATTTATAATAGTTCAATGTTACAATTATTCATATGCTTGACAGAAAAACTAAAACAAATAATTACTTTGCAGATTCACCATGGCTTCATCCTGTACACAGCTCTGTCTACAAGGCAGAAATCTTCTCCGCTCCAAGGCAGTGGCTCGCACCTGGCAGTATAACACTCAAGTTAGACATTGCATTACAAGGGGATCAAGCAAAATCCTAAATGATTGCTCGATTAACAACGGGAATCACACAACAACCCAGACGAGACAGAGATGGAAACAACAGTTGTTCTGTTACAGTGACTTAGCTACCAAACATCTGGCAACTGAAGCTTTGGAAAACAAGAATGTTGAAGAAACCTCTACAGCTGATGTTGTAGCATACAAGAGCCCCCTGTTGCCAATCAGAGATGCTGTGTCTGTGCCTAATATGCCATTAGGTATATTCATTTGCCTAAATCCCTTTTAAAGGTCCCCTATTATACTGTTTTTCATCAATATATTTTAGGTCTCAGATATACACAAAACATGTCTCTGAAGTGTTTGGCTCAAAATACCAAACAGATCATGTATTGTAGCATCCCATAAACCCCTCTGTTTCAGCCCTGTTTCAAAAGTGCTTATTCTGTGTCTTTTACATTAGATGAAAATAAGGAGCCACTCCCCTCGCCCCCCTGTGAGATATTTGGTTAAAAATAACACAATGGTGCTCTGGGAGGAGATTCAGGTGATAAGGTGGGTAGGGGGGTACCTTGGTTGGTGATTGGCTAATGGTTACACAAGCCAACAAATCGTTATGACATTATATAGTGGCCAAAATCTGATCATCTAATTTTCAGACTGGTTTTTATATAAATTGATCAGGACAAAAAGTGAGCGAATCTTTTTTCCTGAAACTTTCAGAGTCTCTTTACTCAGAGGGAACACATGTTGATGTATAAAAGACATGAAAAAGTGGATTTTGTATAATAGGTGACCTTTAATATAACTAGCATTTGATTCAAGTCTTCATTTATCTTGAGAGGGAGTTGAATACATTGTTCTGTCTTTTTTCTTCATTTACCAGATCTGGATGCTGCTGCTGAGGTTTCAGCATTAGAGCTGATCAGTGAGGAAGAGGCTGTCAGTATAACAGTCCCTTCTGACATCCCCCCTGCCTCCATCTCTCTAAAAGACTATGTCGACAAGTCTGAGACGCTCAGCAAACTGGTGCAGCTGGGTAATTAAACTTCAGATTCCTTAAAATATATTTCACAACACCTGTAGTTTTAAGGCATATCTAGCTATACTGTGATACAGGAAATGATCTAGTACCCATGTCAGCTACTACACGTTTGTGATCATTTATCTTCTCATTGCAGGTGTAGATCTGTGGAAGCTTGAACAAAGGCCCAATGTGGGCTCCATGCTACTGAAGCTTGACTTCAACACAGATGTGGCCCCAAGGCTGCTGTTCCTCAAAGATATAGGTGTGGACGAATCTCGTTTTGGTCACATCATCACGGAAAACCCCTTCGTTCTCACTGAGAGTTTGGAGAACCTGCATTCCAGGTGACAAAAAAACAGGGGGGGGGGCGGGAGCTCCAACAAGGCGTGTAGGACAGAGAGTGAATACACATACTATACAGAGATGCTATATGAGAAAACCAATGTGATTTTGGAACAATGTCAATCTATTCTAGTAGACCTCAACAATGGAATTATGATCAGTAGAAATGGCCAAGACATGGGACCTTTAATAATGTTGTCTTTTTTGGTGTTTCAAAGGGTGAACTTTCTCGAGTCACAGAAGTTCAGCTCTGAGATTGTTGCATCCATGGTGTCCAGAGCTCCGTATATACTGAACTTCACTGTGAAGAGGCTGGACAACAGAATGGGCTTCTACCAGCAGATACTCAAACTCAGTGCTTCTAATGTAAGTTGGCTGATGGGAGGGATCTCATTGTGAAGCCTAGCCATGTTTGTCTCTGTTATTTTTTCACAAAATTCAATGGACTTGTAGGAAAGAAAAAAGCATATCACAGCTTGTTTTATTTCTCTCTCCAGACACGGCACATTTTAGCTCGTCTACCCAGATTACTGTGTTGCAGTCTGGAGCCTGTTAAAGAGAACCTGAAGGTACTGGGTGACAAAGGACATTATTAGATAACATCATTGAGTAACTGTGGAGTGCAGTGTTTTAAATTCCTTTTATGTAAATATTTTTCAACAGGTGTGTGAAATGGAGCTCGGCTTCAAGGAAAACGAGATCCAACATATAGTTATTACAGTCCCGAAGGTTCTGACAGCAAACAAAAGGAAGCTGACCCAAATATTTGACTTCGTCCACAATACCATGAAGGTGCCCCACGACCTGATCGCCAAGTTCCCACAGGTAGAATGAAAGCTTTTGGTTGTTGATTTTTTTTAAACAAAAACAAATGTGAATTATTGCATATTCAAAATTATAATGTTAACATTTGATATATCTTCCCATAGGTCCTAAATTGTAGGTTCATGCGTATCAGAGAGCGCCACCAGTTCCTCGAGTACCTTGGAAAGGCTCAGTATAACCCTGACCTGCCCAACTACATCTCCCTGGAACGGCTGGTGATAATACCAAATGATATTTTTTGCACTGAGTTGGCTCTTGCCAAATCTGCAGATTTTTCTTTGTTCCAAAAGACACTCTGATTCTTCAGGAAACAAATGATCGAGCGCAAAGAATAAATAAATGTCAAACACCTGAAGACATGAAGGCTTGTAAACTTCAGCTCATCAACTGAGTTGGAAGGAAAGTTTTGTAAATGCATTATTAAATAAATGTCCACACTGATTACGACTGATCATAACTTATGTTTTGAAAACTGCTTGAAATAATTGAGAGGATTTTCGCAATGTAACAAAGTTCTTCTTCAGCCCCAGTACCATTTAAAGGGAAATATATATTTATTTTAGTGTCATTTACACATTTAGATATTCCATAGAAAACCAGTGTTTACGGTAGGAAGCATTGTTATGTTGTAAATTGTAGGTCCCCAATATATAATATTGAAAAAGGTCAGTTATTATTGCTGCTATTTTGTATTAATAAACCTGTTACTACTTAAATAATATTTTTGAACAGCCCTCTTACTTGTATCTGGTGTTTCAACATTCTTGTGTAGCTACATTTACTTGAAAAGGATTCATACTCGTGCCATCATTGCACTTTTAAATGGACTCCCACTGTAACTGTTCTACCTCCATATACCAATCATGATGAAGGAGTTGTTATCCTCAAATGAATGATGTGTTTTAAGTTCACGGACTTGACCAGTAAAAAAGTCAATAGTGTAACATGTTTTATAGATTTTTTTTTAATACCTTAAAGGTCCCATGACATGCTTTTCTGGTTATTATCCGTCCCCTTGTGTGTTATGTAGCTTTTTATGCATGTAAACGGAAAGCAGAGTCACAAACCCGCAAAGTACACCCTGTAGCGAGTAAAACTCTAACACAGAAAAGACCTGTCTATGCTGCCCCAGAACGCCTCGTTGGAGATTTCTCTTTTTCCATTTTTTTCTTCTTGGGTATAGTGACGTATTTGGGTATAGTGACGTAACGTAACAGCTCCGCGGATTGGTCCGTTACGTGGAATTATGATCGGTAGAAATGGCCATGAAATGGGACCTTTAATTACAAATTAGTTTTTTATTCCAGTTAGTTCCATGACAGAAATGCGTTTTAATAGAAACAAAATAAGTTTAAAATAATCTATTTATTACAGTTTCTTTAATATAATAGTGTAATTTTATAAAAGTGAAATGTGGATAAAATAATGAGCAAATTAAAGACCTCGCTGATGAAATTAGGATTGAAGTATGAATATTTACAAATCACGTTCTAAAAAAAAATTCTAACCAAAATACGTTTTAAGATCCAACTGAAAATCAGTAATTCCCTATTTAATACTGGAAGGTTAGGGTCCAATGGAAATAAATTGGGACCGTATCCTAAAAATAAACGATCACAAACAAATCTGGAGATGTCTGTTTTAAACTTATCGTTTGATTCTATCCAGCATATCATTAATAGCACATAGAAAGTACACTGATATAAATTGCTCTTTGTTTGGGATTGGTAATGAAACTTTCATGTAACCTAATTTGTAGCTGTCCGTATATTGTTAACTTTTGGAAAATAATTTACCCAATACTTTTCAACTTATTTTTTTCTATTATTTTACAAAGATGTGCTGTTTGTTTTTTGTGTGTGTCTGCAGCTCAGTACAAAAACAGTATTATAATATTGGTCTTTTTATTAACCTGGCAAAACTTTACATTCACAAAAGTATAATAACTTGTATAACAAAAAGCGTGTTTATAAATACAACACATCTTTTCAGCCTTGAAGACTCATGATAAATGGATAATGTGTTATTTTGTATTATTCATTTCTCCATATCTTTTATGATCATATGTCGTCACCACGTAAACCTAGAGCTCTATATTTGGCAATAAAGCAGTTTTTTTTTTAAAACACTTGGAAAAGGAGAAGGAAAAGCAATAATTAAGAAGAAGGGTATGAAAATATGGCAGAGAATGTGGGAGGAAGATCAGAAAGGGAGGAGATACCACAAGTTACAGAAATCAGTCATAATAAAGATCTATCCAGAAAGGAACAGACGGGAGGAGATCATCATCACTAGACTCAGACTGGATCATACAGGATTAAACGGAACAATGTTTATAATGGGAAAACGCGAAGTTGAAGAATGCAGGGGGTGTGGAGTGAAAGAAAATGTGTAACACATCATATTACACTGCAACATGTACAAAACAGAGAGGTAAAAACTAAGAGACAGGGTCAGAGAGGCAGAAAGGGAGTAGAGCCTGATGGGGACACTGGGAACAGAAGGTGAGGGGGTAAGAGATACCAGGAAGGCCATTCTTAAGTATTTGAGTGAAACATGATTGATTGGAAGAATTTAAAACAACGTAAATACAGTGTTATAATTCCACAAGTGGTGATAGGATGATATGGTGATACACTCTTGTACAGTAGGTGGNAGAGGCGGGTGCTGAGGCGATTCACAATCAGGCCAGCTGTAGAGAAGACCCTCTCAGCTGGAATTTGAGCATAAGATGAGGTTTGAGTCTGCGTGATCTCAGATCACGCAGACTCAAACCTCATCTTATGCTCAAATTCCAGCTGAGAGGGTCTTCTCTACAGCTGGCCTGATTGTGAATCGCCTCAGCACCCGCCTCTCCCCTGAGTAGACATGCTCATATTCTTAAAGAAGAATGAGTATTGAATAGCTGCATTCTGTGCATAGCCCTGTTATAGGTTGTTGATCTCTGTTGTAATAGGGTTACGTTACCCTAACCCGTTATGTTGTTCGTGTTTGATCCCTCTTTCATTTAAAAACCAAGTTAAGTTTGAAAGCTGTCAACTGTTCAAACTGTGATCACCAGTTCAATACATTTGACAAATTCGACTTGGTTTCTATACTTATTTGAACATGTATTTATTTATTTTTATTTTTGTAAAAGAAATTCACAATTTTTTTATAGGATATGTACATTTCGGTGAATCGGTTAACCGTTTTTTTGGGGGTCGAATATTTGAATATACATTTGCTTTCAAATTCCCATCCCTATAAAGTACGATGCATTATTGAGTAACATATCATTATTAGGTGAAGTAGAATAAATTGGCTCCAGCTTTACCATCCGTAACATTCAAGAAGTAACACATAAATGCATCAGTATTTATAATTCCATTGTAATATATATTATTCTGAAATAGGCCGTTTAGCATAATGAGTACATTAATCCCCCTAATCCCTGCTCCGCCACTTTAGCAGAATACAAATGCATTTTAAATGCCGGACAGATGACGGGTCGTGAACTGTAACTCTATCTGAAGCTGTGAATTAAGACTGGCTCAAACAGGAAGCGCGTGACGCTGGAGTTCTCTCGGCTGTGGACACCAGTTCAGCTGTGAAATGTTGGACACGTGTTTCACATTTCCTGAGGCCTAATGTGGAAAGATAAGAGGGAGAAAATAATTGCCCCCGCACACTTGGTTTCCAGGAGAGACTTAGTGTCTAGTGTGTGTTCTTCTTGGGCCAAGAAATATTGGCGTAATGAGAGTTGGAAACATTCAGCAGAGGTCAGGAAAACACTGCACGCCTGTTTGTTGGTTCAACAGAAAATATCAAATACCCAATTTTTATGAAACTTGGTGGCAGGGGTCAAGGAAGAAGGAAATTTTGGAGCAGATCTGAATCACATGGCAGATACACAAAACATCTTTGACTCATGGAAACAGCCTTGGTCTGCACAATAAGTGCTATTTTCCTTTTTTGTATGAATCATATGTTTTTTTTGTTACTGCCCAAAAGTATGTTTCCTGCTATTATTAAGAAATGATCAGATGGCTGTTATTCAGTCTGACGTTTTTCATCATATTTTAGAATTAAGTTTTAAGTATTTTATTTATTTATTCAAAAGCTTCTGATACTGTTTACATCAGCCTCAAGCAAGATACTGTTATGTTCAAGGTGAAAGGTGAAGTATAAGTAATGTAACCGAGCAGTTGGTCTCAAGGAAGATACATGTGATACTTCAGTGGTTATAATATATCCTATATGAACACTAGACGTTGTGAACCATACTTTAAGTCTCAAACCCACAGACTGACCTGGAGTGTGACCCGGCTTCGTTCAGGCTGAAGGTGCTGCTGTCTCTCACCAGGAGGTGAGTGGGGGGGCTCCGGCCGGTCCCCTCCAGGCTCCTTTCTCCTGGAGGGCCCGGGGACTCTGCTGCAGCCGGAGACCTCTCCAGCATCCTGCGGCCCCCCTCGGTGGGGCTGTGCCACGGAGACACTGATCTCTCCCTGCTCTCCCGGCTCTCCCTGCTCTCCCTGCTCTCTCTCCCTCCACTGGGGGCCAGCAGGGAGGTGGTGCTGCCGTGATGGGAGTGGGGGTGTGTGTGGTGGGAGGCTCCAAAAGAGCTGGTGTCGATGCCGCTGTCGGCCGACGCCCCCTGCAGGTAGCCTCCTCCCCCCAGGCCGTTGGGCTCCGGCTCTCCTCCCGGCTCAGTGCTGGTTCCTCCACCCGCTGCTATCTCGTACCATTTGTCGCTGTCGCTGTGGCCCCCGCTGGAGGCGGTGCTGGACAGAGTGTTACTGCTGGAGTGCCCGGAGTAAGGGCCGTCCGACTGCCAGAACAAACAGAAAGGAGATGAGTGAGGGAGAATTCCATGTGTGTGAAAACATCCGTTTTTTTTTTATTTGGTGACTTAAGATTACAATGTGACTAACTACAACAATTACATTTTACCCATATACCAGAAGCATTGCAGACGACTTGTTTTATTTTTTGAAAGTAGCTCTCATCCTAAAAAAGGTTGGAGACCCCTGCCCTAGAGAGATAGGCATATAACTGTCATGTGTATTGCTTACGCAGGCCTTAGCTAATCTTTACTAATGTCAGAATACTGCTTTGAACCAGTATTCTTCCATCTTGTTGACTGTAACACCCTCTCTTGTATATAAGCATATCAAGGACTCTACTCTTGGAACTATTTGTCCCACGAAGCCCTGTGTGTGATGACTACTTCCATTCTTGCAAGGATAATAAATAAAAGTATCCTGATATTGAAGACCAAGCCGGTGACGAGTGATATTTTTCTAACACATTTGTATGAATCTCGATATCCTCTATAAAGTGTGCATATTTTGTTCAGGGAAATCCACACCACCACAGGGAAGATAAAGCGAGTGGTGCTCCAGTTCACCCCGGCCAGCTGGACTTATGTGCGCTGGTTTGACCCAAAGTCCTCCTTTCGAAGGCTGGCAGGCATCTATATCTTTATGATCCTCTGGCAGGTACTGTGCTGTATTCCTTGATCTTTGACTTGCTTTTTGGATTGTCTGCAGTGTTAGAGCTGTATCTGCTGATTATCAATTAATAATACTCTCTAGAAAAACTCCACATTTGTTAGTTTTCTTGCTGCTCACACAAAATATCCATAAGTAATCCTTTAACCTTGTCTGTCTTACATCCTTTATCCGCACAGCTGACAGAGTTAAACATGTTCTTCCTGAAGCACATATTCGTCTTCCAGGCGTCTCACGCTTTCAGCTGGTTACGCCTCATCGTCCTTGGAGCCATCACTGCACCCACTGTACGGTATGTTCAGCCTTCAACTACACCAATGTGCAACAAAAGTCTGGAAACAATGTTTATGGTAGTATTTATTCCTGGTGTTACAAAATTAAGTGGCAGTTGTTGGCTGGTTTTTTTCTGACATTCAAAACTTTAAATGCTTACTATGTTGTTGATAAGTGAAAATGTCCTTTTTTTTCAACCCCTTTCAGACAATATTATGCATATATGACTGACACTGAGTGTAAACGAGTTGGCACCCAATGCTGGGTGTTTATGTAAGTATATTTTGTCTTGTCCCTTAGAAACATTTAACAGGACTGGGTATTCCCTAAAAAAGTAATTAGATTGGCGATTACAAAAGGAAGGCATTTGCAGCAGAGCAAGGTCAAATACAATACTATTTAGTCATAGCTTACTGCATTATATTACCACACCTTTTGTATAAAAAGTTTTTATTTCCAGTTGCAGACTTGCAGACTGTTATTCCATTATGTTTTTAATTGTTATTATTTGAAGGACTGTCACAACATTTTGAGTTTTCCTCATTTCTTTTTTTATTGCCATGTTTTGGGTATAAAATTGCAGCATTGTAGTTTTACAACTGATAGCAGTGAACTCTGTCCAGTTTATGGTAGGTTTCCTTTGATCTTGTCGACATATAGCACAGTAAAGGGGATGTGCTGGATGGCCATCCCTGTTTTTAAATCAAACAAATCAGAGCGGCAGTTTAACGACACGTGATTCGGGTTTATGGTTGTGTAATGCATTGGTCGGCTAAGCAAGGTATGTTGTAGATTCAAATATGATAACCAATCAGAATTTGACACACCTTATTTCTGTTACCGACTAATTCCTTCAAGTGGGAACATATCAGTCAAATTGATAGCGGTACACACTGAAACCAGTTTTGTGTTAGTCACATGCCCACAATCTCGCCCTTTTTTCCCCTGATTTTACAAGCTTATACGACAGGCAAATGGTTCATGTTTGAACAGGTTTTATATTCCCCTTTTTTTAACAGTGTACTTCTAGCAGTCAATTGAAATTCATAACGTAATGTAGTTATTGACCTCACCTGAGACTCAAAGCTGCATATGCCCTCTGTCTGCTCTAGTTTCCATAGCAACGAGACAGGCTCCCTCCGTCTGCATGACACACATTACGTTGAATAAGGCTGTCTTGTTCAGCCTTTACAATTGAGTTGCATTTCCCACAGCAGGAGTATAGCGAATGAATATTGTTACGGGTATGAACGGCGAGGGAACAATAATAAAAAGCACATTCATCTGCCGCCTGGTGTATGCATCCACAGAGGTGCTCCACTGCAATGAAATGGTGCTGCCATGAGAGGGGGCCATTGTAAAATGCAGAAACTTCCCCTTACCATTTCTCTAACACTTGTATATTTCCCTTTAGTGCCATCTCTCTCCTCGAGGCTCTTGCTTGTGTTAAATTTGGTAACGACTTGTTTTCCAAGACACAAGTTCGCTATGTGCTCCTGTGGCTGGTGATTCTGGTAAGAAAAACAAGAGTGTATTATGTGTGTGTGGACTGATGGAGGTTAAGCTTCACTGAATAGATGCATCCTGATTATGCAACTATATTTCCTATGCAAAGACCATAACCGAGATGCCTTTATGTACATTTTCATAAAGGGAAACCAACCACTGTTAATGTATATTACACACCTTCATGGACAAGTATTGAAAGGCACTGGGTTTCATGCCGACCTCTGCTTTCATGTTTCTGTTTCGTAACAGTCACAAATGTGTGTCAGAGATCTGAAGCATGTTTTTAAATCTGACTTGAGTGCTTAACGCAGCTGCATATTTCCTGGATGCTACTCATGAGTTTATCACAGTGTGTGACCCCTTCAAACAGCTCAAAGATGTAACTATTTACATTCTTGCAAGCTTGTTCACATGCAAAACAAGTGTGGTTATATTTATTTCTGAACAAAATATTTTTTTCTCATGCCCTCGGGTAAAAAAACAAAAGAAGAGTTTAACTTGACTTAAATTATTTCTCTTCTACATTTTAGGCCTTCATCACACTTCTATGTCTATATGGGATGATGTGGTACGAGCAAAAGAAAATGAAGGTGAGATGTTGTTTAGTTTTTTGTTTTTTTAAACCTTCTGTTATATTTTAAGAATTAATTTACTTGTACTTTTTTAAGGGTAAATATAGTCAAGATGAATCATTGTAGTTAAAATAAAATCTACAATAAGTCCTTTTTAATTCACTTTGAGTTGTAAAACTAGGAAAAGCACAGGTGTTAAAATTAACTCTGTTCTATTCAAGTTTGACAGTGAGTCAGTTTGTACAATACCAGGAACCTGAAATCAATGATGTTATTTATACTTTCCCTGTCCTACTGTCTGTTAATCCCTGTGGTGTTTCTTGCTTGCTATGTAGTTACTCTTTAGAGCAGTGGTTCCCAACCTTTTTTCCCAAGAGCCCCCCCAAATGACTCCTGTTGCAACAGCGGTAATTAAAGTTTCAAAGTCACAAAATGCTACAACTACTGTCACAAACTGGATGAATGTGATGTATTTTGTCAAAGGAGGGTGAAAGCGTAATTAAGGAGCACTATTGGAGTGACTTTGATTTTTTTATTTTTGGAATCAGGATTAATTCATTTGGATTCCCGCTGTATGAAGAAATTAAANACTACTAGCACGCACGACACACACACACACACACACACACACACACACACACACACACACACACACACACACACACATACAAGGTAACGCCCACCACCAGCACACACACACAATGGCAGATGCAAGCATAGATATATATAAACACTAGACAACTCACCCGCGCTGCTGGCCAATGGAGACCGACGTTGCCACTTGGCCGTCATCTTGCCACAGGCAGTTCTCTCATTCATAACATTATGGTGTAATATTTAAATAACCATAGCGTGCTCAATTTTCAACCAATTCAACCAACGGTTTGGTTTTTTATAAACATCAAAGATGTAGTTATGATACTGCATACTTATAATCATGGACTTTCATATGAAAATAACATTAATCAGATAAAGCAATAGCTATAAACACACACACAAGGTATTTATATTAAATATTTGCCGGTGTATATATTTCCATTAATNCCG